TCTTGTTTTCTTTTTCCTTCTGTCTGTTGTCTTTTTCTCTGATTGCCTTTCATCTTTTGTCTGTGTTTCTTTCTGCTTTTCCTGCACATCTGTCTTTTTAAGCTTCTCTTTATAGTTCCCCGTTTGCCCTTTGCCGTCTGCCTCTGTTTGTTTGCTTCTTTCAACCTGCTGAAGCAATGATCTTACCAGGGCAAGAAACTGCTTGCTGACGAAGCAACTAGTGGAGCAATCAGCTGATGAAGTGTTTCTTCTCTTTACATGTTTGGTTTACTTCCTGCTTTGATTTAAGCTTTGTGCTCACAAAAGCCACAAAGAGGCGAGACTATTTTCTCTTAATAGTTTAACTTCTTGAGGTAAAAAAAAAGCCCTGACGATCCCTTAAACTGCAGTTCCTCAAATGACCACTTGAAGCTGTATTCAAACTAGAGTCCATTCCCATGTTCTCATGTTAAAATGACGTAACTCTTTCCCCCGTAGAGACAATATTTGATGACTTTGGAATTTAAGAACTTGTTTGATTAGATTCTTGGTAGCCCAAGTAGGCTGTACAGGCCTCACTAACGTCTAATACACCCAGGTACTTTATAGAAAGTGCTATGCACTGTGCTCACCACTATTTCTATCAAGCTGGCTGTACTTTGTTATTTTTTGCGGTCATTCATGGCCATACTGTACGCAGAAGATGGGGACAAAAGTTAAACATTGCAGGTTTAACTGCCGCGAAGCTCTTTAGTATTTTATTCTGACAGAGTGTCTTTTGTAAGGATCTATGTTCCCTCAAAAAGCAGAAATAAAGTCATGAAGAATGCTTGTGTGGCTTGATTCCACTGATTCCCCTTTCTGGATTTTTTTCATCATTCTTCCTTTAAACTGTATCTAATCTTGGATCAAAATCTCCACATTTAGAGATAATGCTCTTTTCCTCCTGTCCTCTCCTCCCTCCTTTTCTCTTTCTTTCCATCCTCCCTCCTCTCCTCTTTCTCTTTTCCCAGTCTTCGTTTGCTTATGTCCCTCTGTGGCTCCCACCGGGGTCCTGACTACTGCCGCTTCCCCTCTACACAAACATATACACACACACTCTCACTAAAAACACACAAGCACAGACTTACATAACCCCCC